AAAACCAGAGAAATCTGAGAGATTAAAACCTCTGGTGCTGCTTTATTCTGCTAAATTGAGCTTAATGGCCAAGCAAGTCTCTAAAACCCTTTAGTTTATGTCTTTCTATGAAATTCTTTAAGTAGGTCATATTTCACCTAAAAAAAAAAGTCACAACTGCAAACATTGTGTTTTGATTCATGCATTATGCTTTGCTCGGACCTTTACAGTGTTAGGATTTTTTTCAATCATTAAAGGAAATTTGGTCCTAAAACATAATTACTGTCTGGAAACATTATTTAAGGAAAAAATGAAACAGAACAAAGTAGAAAAACACACCATTAAGGGAAAAAGGAAAGTGTTTACAGAGTTCTTCATTTATGAAATAAGAATAATAAGAATGTATAATTAAACAGACCCAACTGGAATAAAGTAAGTGAGCATAAGAAAACCTGTCCTTGAAAAAAGGAAAGGAAAATCTGTTCTATTCCTTACAAGTAATTCAGGTCGTGCGGCCATTCTGAGGGCAGAGAAAACGAGGCCGAAAGGGAGAGATGTGTTTCCGAAAAGTCCTAGCTAAGCGTGTTATGCCTCGGCTTATTTTCATTCTATGAGTTTTTGATTCCTGCATACTTTGAAGTTTGCCTCAAGGGAAAAAGCTGAATTGGGACTCTTTGTGAAGAGAATCTTTGGCCTGGAAGGTTGGCGCCTTCAGCTGTTTCTCATGCCAAACTTTTGAGATTCTGTTCCCGTTCCAAAAGCTGACAGGAGCTTCCTTGCAAGTTCCTCTGAAAGAAGTGAATGAGACTAAACTCCAACAGATTTCTGCCTTTATAGACCCTTAACTAGCCTAATGAGCCTGATGAATGCGTGATTTGAAGGGCAGAATGTAGAGTGCAGCGTGAAGCCCTAGGGGCTAGTGGATCTCGCAGCAAGCAGGACCAGTCCTGCAGTAGCCCGGATGTCCGAGAAAGGCTGCCGTGAAAGGGCTGTGGAAAAGCTGCTGCCATCTTTTGGGTGGTTCCGCGGGAAACACCAACTCTGATCTTGGAAGCATGTACAATTAGATTTATACACAGAAGAAGTTTCACAGTGCCAAACTAGCAAGCATAAGATATTCCAGCATTGACATCTTTAAAATTAAGAAAGGAAAGAAAAATTTAAGGTGGTTATGAGTAGCTCCTTTCTAGCTCCAAAGCAAGGTGGAAAATGATTACAATTGAAAATGATATTAAATAATGACCAGAGGAATCCAAGTCAGCTATAGAGAGAATTTCCAGACCTTACAGTAGCTGTATTCAACTCTATGAGATCTGCCTGCTTACATAACCAATATTTGATAATATCCTCTCCTGCCCTGGAATACAACTCAAAGGTAATATACCCGACCTTTGGGCATAATTTCAAACCCTCAGTATACTGCTTTCATTGTGAAATGAATAGTAATGTATAAGAAAAGTAATTTATAATAAATGGCATATGTAAATGTTAGGGCATGACTTCACAAGAACATACAATGAAACAGATACACAAAATAAGTTTGGATTTCAGAAAAGTAGGATATATTATCCAGCGGATTATTATACTGGAAACTCTGAAATCAGATAAATGTATCTATGCTTACGTATGCAATCACTAATGCAAGGCTGTTGTATTGGGAACTCAGACACCTCAAAGGGCATTGCTGTTGCTCACTTGATTTTCTAAACTAGCGCACAGTACTTGTTGAAGTTCTTGGGACAAGTGGCTCTGCTTGCTTAGAAGGACACCAACTCCTCCGACTTCAAAGATCCAGTTGGCTCCTTGGACCAGGGCAGAGATCCTGGCTTTGATAACTCAGAACCAGCGGAATACTCAGAACTCTCTACATGACACACTCAACTTCACGTGGACCTCAGCACCTTTTCGGCCACAGATGCAGTCCCACTGTGAGCATCTACAAATGATCGTTGCAGAAAATGTCAGTGGCGAAAGTCCCACCAGCAGCCCTCTGGCTTTGGCTTTTTAAGCCCTCCACTTACAATTTAAGATACATTTGTAAACACAAAACATTCTCAGTAACAACTATAAAAATATTTAATACATTTATGAACAGTTTGTATTTCCTGTCTGGAAATACTGAGAAAACCCTCAGCGGAATAAGTTTAGATTCTGGGCTCAGAAGCAAAGTTTTCAGAAATAATCTCCCAGGCTTTGGAGACTGAAATAAACAGGTGGTCAGCTGGAAAGAGAAATCTTTGTCTATAGCCATGCCATGCTGAATGTGCCAGTTCTGAGCTGATTTCTCAGCTAAACTGGTAAAATGCCTGGGGACACAGGTGCCATAGGCCTAAAAAGAAAACTTTTTTTTTTTAGGCAACAATAGAATTCACAAACTGATCCTATGCATCTCAGCCGTAGTCTTGTTATTTCAGCTTTGTTATTTTTTAATCTATTGTTTTTGGAAATATTGCAAGACTTGTGAAAACAGAGTAATCCTTTAGCTTAATGTTTTAGGAGTAGTACTCTTTTAGCCAAATATGCTAGTTGACAATGTATAAAGAATGGTAATAATAGTAGACATAATGGGGCCAGAGATATAACTCAACAGCACAGAGCATGCCTAGCAAGCACAAGGCCCTGGGTTCAACTGCTGGTACCAAAGAAGAAAAAAAAAAGAGTCATAATAAGAGCTACATGTATGTACTAGGTCTTGACACAGGCTTAATATTCTGTGAAGAAGTGAGAAAATAAAGAAATTTGCCTGTGGGCACAAGGAACAGCTACAAAGATTTCCAACGTGCTAGTGTAGTAAGCCATTTATATACACGAAGATGTAAGCTGCTCATAAAAATCTAAAGATAAACTAGCATTATTCCTATTTTACAGATTTAAAAACCAGGAATTTAGGAATAATTCTTGCATAAAGACAATCATAAAAATAGTAGCTAAACTTTCATCATAGTCTGCCTTGTCTTAAAATATATTCCTGCTTCTCTTCCATGTGGTGTCCAGCAGCTCATCTTTGAAGATAAATGATGTGTATCAAGTAATGCAATTGTTGATATGCAAATGGGTGTTGATATGGAAATGGGTTATTGTCATTTCCATGAAAAGCTAGTTTTGTACAAAAACACCATTGTTTTTGCTAACAGACATCTGCCACTCCCTAAAAAGTTACACACATGTCAGCACTGATACTGTGTGGTAGTAAACCCCTCATGCAAAGCAAGTTAGTGGTTACTTGGGATTTGAAATACGGATTCAATATGAGGAACAACAAAGGAAAACAATTCTGTGGCTTTGATAAAAAGCATGCATTGGGAAGGTAATTTGTAAAAAAGGCAGCCTGAATGGATTTCAGGATGAAATAATGAGTGTTAAATTAGGCCTTTTAATATCATGAATAAAGGAAGTTTTATACAATGGCCAAATACAATTTTGTTTCAAATTTTCTTCTTTTATATTAGCATTTGTTTTAGAATAGCCAGTTGTTTATCTTTAGTTGGCTTCTAAAATTAAATGAATTGATTTTAAAAGAGGGTTTTAATAAGATATCATGATATCACTGTTCTTGTTACATTTACTTTTACATCTTCATCCACAATGCCCTTACAGAGTCTAAGAGCTAAAAGGTAATTTGGGGTTGTGCCCTTTTAGGTCCAGGTGAAATGGCAGTTTTCAAAGTAATGGGGTCAGCAGATGGCCAAACAGCTTTTCCTACGTTAGCATATGAAAAGGAATGTGAGAAAACTAACTGTGTATGACTCAGACTCCACTTATTTGCTGCTGGATAAGCATATTGCTACAGCCAATTCCATCATTAAAAATGTAACTCTTTGGGGACCCTGTAACAATTTGTTTCATGTTCTTGGTCATTAGTGTGCTTAATAGTATAGTTTGCCTGTATTTACTACTTACATTCCACACTCTAGAGCTCTACACACTATTGCATTCTCGGTAACCCTATGAGGTACTGGCTCTGTTAGGGTCACTGCAGAGGAAAGAATCTACTGTTCAGTATTTTATACAAGTTGGTTTTTAATACAAGAAATTGATGTTGAACAAAGTATTGGAGGGGCTGAAGGGATAGGCTGTAGGCTGCGCTTCCAGAAGCAATTCCCAGAGAAACAGAACCACCCCAGGAAGAAAGTTACTGCTTCCAAGGTAACCAGAGCTACATCCGAAAGCAGGAATCCAGATTGAAGAAGCTGCTACAGATGCCACTGCCAGCACTGCCTATGACACTCAGGAAGCTCAAAAAATGATGCTGGGATCTGCTGCAGACTAAACCTCACATCTCCAGAATTTTGTTTGCCAGCAGATCAACAGCCAAGTGAGGCAAGATAATAGATGCTTTCCAGATTTAAAACAAATTTATCATTATAGAATAAAATTATAGAATAAAAATCGTAACTGAATCCCAGCTGCCCAGGGGTGAGAAAGGCAGATTTTAGCTTTCCAGCCTCTGCTGGATAGGAAGGACCCTGAGAGAAAGGTAGAATATAGGGTACACAAGGGAATCACATTACCCCAGGTGAGTGTTATCACCTCAGCCCCCCAGCCCTTGAGAGATAAGGAAATAGGCAAAAAGGAATAAGTAAACTGCCCCTTCGAGGCAGTCTGCTCTACAACCAGTAGTTATAATTAACTGCCTCCCGCTGATCAAGTTATGGTACTTGGTACTCACAGATTAAAGGAAAATTCCAGCAGCATTGTTTGCCAAAGTGAAATGTTTTCTAAATCAATCAATCCAAAAAACTAGAAAACAGCCAAACCCACAGTACACCTTGGGCTCTTTCTGACCTTTACAGTACCAGACAAAACTCACTTACTCAGATTCAGCAAAGCTTCGAATTTTTCCTTTTCTGAATCTAGGACTATAATTCAGGTCCAATTAGATAAGACTGAGGTGGCGTTTTGGGCATGAGAAACAAGGAATATTGAGGGATCCAACACGGATGAATTCCTATTCATCATTAATTTCAAACCTAAATATCAAGGTCTGCTGCTGAAATGTGTGAAGGTGCAGAGACTCTTACCAGTTAAAGCCATTACAACCTGGGGCTGTTGGTGACAACATCTGGAAGACGACCTTCAGCTGCAGATTTTCTTAGCAAAGGCAAGATTTGTAGGGAAGCGTGAAAAGATGTGTTACTGCTGTGATAGTCTCCACGCAGCGGCTCTTCATCTTCTCAGGGACATCGGCCTGTTCTTCAAGCACTCACTTAAGAGTTATCATTCCTTTCGTTTCTGTGTCATTGGTCAGGGCAGGGAACCTGGACACTGTGTTGGAGGAGAGAAGAACTAGAGTTGAAAAAAGGGGACTTTATCCATAATGTCCAGGCTTTTAACCCTCCTCAGATAGCTCCATCCCTGGGAGAGTTACCCTTCCTGTGTGCAGAAGTCAGATTCGGGATCAGCTCTTTTCCCCCTAACATAGGAGCAGACAGGTGGAAGGATTAGAGGGAGGTTGTACACTACCCTTCCGAGATCATTGGGGATCTGGGATAGACATTGTGTTCACCTTTTGTGCCCCGAAACATGTGCCTAGGCTAAACCAGATTCTACCACCCCAAGAAGAAAACTCTAAAGCTCCTTTAAAACGCCACTTATATATTACAGCAAATATGTTCATTGTACATCACCTTTAACTGTTCATTAAACCAAATCCCCCAAAACATTTTATGCCAATGCTTTGGAAATTAGTCTTTGTTACTTTATGCAATTGAAAACAATAAAGCTAAGTGCCTGCTATACTCTTCTGTAATTTGAAAGAGGGACTTGCAACCTCAGGTCCTGTCTCCAGGCCCCTCAACGGCCTTAGAAGCAATGATGGGAAATGGCACCATTTGCATTATATCAGAAAACCTTATGGAGATGGGGCATTTGACTTAAAACTGTATGAACAAACTAACGCCAAGTTTCTCATGTTTTGACTGGGATTACATCAGTGTAGTACAATACTTCTCTCACAGAATGAATGATAATTGATTATTACATGCTCTTTGGAAACTCTAAATAATAGTCATTTAATGTCTTTGATTAAAATAAATGGGATAAATTAATCACCCAATAAAACTCTCTTCAAGAAAAACCTTTAAGAAATATGGTCCATGTAGAAAAAATGAACAGCAATTTAAGAATCTACCTAAAAAGCAGACACAACCCAGTGTCCGTCAACTGAAGGATAGACACATAAAATGTAGCAGATCTGTACAATAGATTATTACTCAGCCTTACAGGAAAGTGGAGAATTGATACATATGATATAGATGAACCCCATAAAGCAGTATGCTTAGTGAAAGAAGCCAGTCATAAAAGATGTGTTAGATGATTCCACTTGTGGGAATGTGTATCAGTTGCAAATCTGCCAAGATAGGAAGTAGATTAGTGCTTATCTCGCACCTGGATGGAGGAGACCTGGAAGCACTGCTGATCAGTATGCGGGTTCTCTTCAGGGTAGCAAAAACTAGATTGTGGTGGTTGTTGCACAACTATGTACACATTGTAAAATCCATTAATCTGTACGCCAAAACTGTTAAGTTGTATAGTATATAAATTATATGTCAATGGAGTTGTTAAATTTTTCCAGACTCATTCATTGAACTGCATATTTTCCACTTACTTCTGCCCCAAATCAGCTTGAATTCATGGAATCCAGCGGCCTGGGAATCAAATTGGGATCTTGGGAACTGAAGACAGAAGCAAAGAACAACTATGCATCTTCCCTCCGGGAAAACCCAGAACTCCCCTCTCTCGCACCTTGCCCTGGGTCTTTTCCCGCACCCTGTCACTTCCCGCTTCCCTGCACTGGAAGCTGGGGGATCAGAAGCTGATTTTCTCAGTGCTCAGTCCTCCTAGGGACTCAGATCTCGCACATCTGCCCAAGGAGTGAGTCCTGTGGCCCTTCCGCCCTGTCCACGTCTCCGGGGAGTTTTCTTCTCTTTGCGGTCAACCTCACCTGGCACTAGATCTGTACATTTAACATCTTCTCCTTTTTTCTTTTGAGCCACTTAATAAGTTTTTCTACCAAAGTGATCAAGTGGCACAAGCATTCTTCTGTGTTTTGTAAGTCAACTGTGAAATTCTCAGGAAATACATGAAAGTGTAACAAAGAGAATACAACTACTACGGTTACCTAACAATAACCTTTGTTAATATTTCGGCACATTTCTAAGAATTTATGCATTTCCATCCTAAGTGCTATGAAGACCTGAAGGCGCAGTCTCCAGCCCCTAATGCTGTTCAGAGGTGGTAGAAGTTAGGAGGTGGGCATATTGGAAGGAAGTGAGGTCACAGTGAGCTGCTCTTGAAGGAGACGTTAGAACTCTAGCTCCTTCATCTCTTTCCCTTTGCTTCTTGGCCAAAATAAAGTAGCGGCCTCCTCCGACACACACCCCTGCCATAGCATACCATGCCACCACAGGCTTTAAGCAACAGGGCCAAGCCACCATGGACTGAAACCTTAGAAACCATGAGCCAACATAAAATTTTCCTCCTTTTAAATTATTTTCTCAGCTATTTTGTCACAGTAACGAAAAGCTGCTCAGCACAATAACCATTTTTAAGGGCACAGTTCAGAAGTGTTAAGAACATTCACACTGTTGAAAAACAGATCTCCAAAACATTTCCATCTTGAAAAACAAACTCATGAAATAACATGAATTTTTCTTCTTCTGTCTGTCTAACTCTCCTTGTCTCACTCTCATAAGGACAATGGTCATTAAATTTAGGGTCTACCTGGACAGTCAGGATGACCTCTTCATTTCACACCTTAAACGTGAATCTACAAAGGCTGTTTTGTGAAATAAAAAACCATTCATAGGCTCTAGGCTCTGGCTGTGGGTCTGTCTTCTTAGGAGCCACTCAGTTCACTATACTGTATTTCCAGAATCTTGATAAATTTTCAAGTGGTTGTAACAAAGGCATCCTTATTTCCTTTTTTTAGATGAAAAAATTAAAATTGAAAAGGAATAAATATTTGGCAAGTATTTGGCTCACCCCAAGTCTCCCTGCCCTCTGGGTTGGCAGGATCCACCTATCCTGTGCCTGGTCAGTTACAGGGCACTGTCTTCACCAGCATAAAATCAGCCGTCAACAGTGTTCACCCTTACATTCAGCTTCTCTTGACCTACAAGAAATAAAAGTCTTCTTTCCCCAAAGAAAGCATTCAGTCTAATATAAGATGTAATACAGCCATGCAATGACATGTTCTCACAATCACTTCAATAGTTATCAGCCCAACCTAAATTCAGATAGTGACACAATGTTCCAAAAGTCTTTTTGCATTTCCTTATCTTTGAAATAAAGATGCATTTCTTTAATCCAATTCATTCTCTCAACAGTTGTTGACTACCTACCATAATTTACAGTATAATATCTCTTATAGTACTTCTTTCCCTGTTTTGGACATTTTTATTTAGAGTAGGGATCATTTGAACTCACAAACACACAGAGGCATAAAGATATTCTGGCATTCTCTACATCTTGGATTACTGTTAAATCTTTGAATATTGCTTTGTTTTGCTCTTTTCCTTTGCTTAAATTCAGGATTCTTTGTGTAGCATTATATAATTGCAACTGGCTACTTCTTAAAATCTTTTTTAAAAAGCCATGTTTATAATTGAGGCAGGGAGGCTGCGGGGGATATAGCTCAGTGGCATAGCACCTGCCTAGCAAGTGCAAGGTTGTGAGTTCAATTCCTGGTACTGGAAAAAAAAAAAAAAACAATTGAGGCAGGGATACACATTTAGTGAAGCCCATCAAAACAATTTTAAAATAAGAGACTAATATCTTGCTGTTTTTCAAAGTCAACTTATCCTGCTGAGCATGGATTTTTGGTGCAATATCATGTAGTAAATTTTTAAAAAGGTTGATAGTTCAGAATCACTAATTTTTTTTTCCAGTACCGGGAATTGAACTCATGACCTTGCGCTTACCAGGAAGGCGCCGTGCTGCTGAACTAAATCCCCAGCCCCATCACTACACTTTTTAAGAAGAAATTGCTTGATAATATTGTGTGCTTAAGGAAATAATATATTTAATAAACTCATATACAAAATTAACATCTGTTATTACTGATGGACAAATTTAGTGGAAATGCAAAAATTGAAGTGACATTAATTTGGTCACACTGGAGAGGATCATCCAGAGACTCCTGTTTAGATGCTTTAAAATGTAAATAGTATCCATCAGGGGACATAGCCTTACTTTATATAATACATTTTCAGATAAGCAAGGAGGGGAAATTTGCACTAATTCTATAGGGGGATAATTAAAAATAATTAGATACCAAGGAAACTTCCATATATTTTATAAACTAAATTTGAGAAAACAGATATGGATTTTGCATTTTCAGGAAATGGTAAGCATGTAGTACAGGCTTGGGATATGAAGTCCCTAGTGAAACAAGCTTCTTTCCTAGTATACCTGCCAATTTACTTGTTTAAAAAAAAATTTTTTTATGAAGAGCTGTCTCCAGGGAAGAGAAGGTATGTGTTTAATGACTCAGTCCCTGGCAACCATCAAAAAGCAGTGTTAGTGGGCTGGGGATTTAGCTCAGCAGCACGGTACCTGCCTGGCAAGTGCAACATTGTGAGTTCAATTCCCGGTACCAGAAAAAAAACAAAAACAAAAACAAAAACAAAATGTTTCTAAAAAACATGTTAGTTAAAGGCAACCCAAGAGTGTAAGATATATATATGTATAAAACTTAGGAAAATACTAGTATGGAGGGAGAGATGATAAGTAGATAGATAGATGATAGATAGACATATAGATAGATGATAGATAGATGATACCTTATGATGAAATAAAAGGATAGGCAGGATGACAATCATCCTGACTTTTGCTACAATGACGAATAAGGCCAAATCTCAGTGCAATCACATTTATCTCTTGCTCACATTACCTGAGAGTTGTAAATTGACAAGGCTTATGCTGAGCTTGCATAGACTCTGTGTGTCTTCCTTCTGGGACTCAGATTGAGGCGGTAGCCACTATTTGGAACATGCAATATTCATAGCTGAGGACAGACATTGAGGAGGAGAAAGCCAAACCACACAAGGGCACTGCAATTTTCAGCTGGGACACAGCATACTTGCCTAAGCTTACATTCCATTTGCAAAACAAGTCCAAAGTCAGGGTGGGGAAGCATACTGCAGTATAAGGAAACATGGCAAAGCTGGAAAGGAATGAAAAATTATGAACCAATAAAATAGTATATCACACCTAAGATATAGAAAACAGTAGAACAATATGAATTATGTTTTAAAGAAACTATTACAATTATTAAATGATGAGGCAATTCAGACAGAATACTTCTCCAGCCAGTAGTAGGTAGACCCAAATTTTATAGGATCAAAAAAATAATTTTTAAGAAAATATGATTAAATATGACAAATACAAAATTCAGGTCCTTCAAACTTAATTTGCTTTAAGGAAAATTCAGTTTTGCTTGTAGTTTATATAATATTAAGTTTAGCTCCACTGATCATAAAATTGTGACAAAAATATTTATCAGATATCAAATCTTGTATTTGAACTGTTCTTTGAAAATAAAATACTGTAATATTTAATAAGGAACATTTATTCATTTGGACATAAGAACATGATAAGATAATCTCCTGACCTCCTGACTTCTCTTAAATCACAACTGAGAGAGAGGTCCTTCTCTGAAGAAACTCATCTGTTTGCATTTTTATGTATTCAAAGAATTCAAATTGGCTTCCTATGTTAAATACATGATGACCTACTTCCTGGTGCTATTGTAAGGAGTGTGCTTAATTTTGAAAAGGATATTTCCTACACACACACACACACCAGAAAACAAATATGTAAATGCAAGATTTTTACTAAGAATTAGCACTTATATTTTTCAGTCACGAAAAGTAATTTACTTCTTATAAGTTTTCCACAATTACACATGCTATGATTTAACCAAATGAGCTAAAAATAAACAAGAAGACAAATACAGGATTAGAGTACTTTTGGTGTATATTCAGTCAATAGATTAAGACTGAGGAAAATGTAAAAGTGGGGGCAGGGGGGCCCCTATTATTCTAGTCTCTACTTGGTGTAGTTGGTAGGATAATTGCGCCCTTTCCTGCCCTTTCCCCACAAAATACACATCCAAATCTCTAGAACCTGTGACTGTGTTCCCCCACGGCAAAAGTGCTCTACAGATACAACTAACGTTACAGATGTTGAGCTGGGAAGTATACTGTGATATCCTAGTGGGCCTAACCTAATCGCATGAATCCCTAAAACCAGAGATCCCCTGGACTGTGGTCAGACAAAGATAAGATGGCAGGAAAGTATTCCTTCCCAGAGACCTTTAGAGTACTAAAGAAAAGAAAACAGCCTGCTGAAACAGTGATTTCAGTGAGGCACAATTCTTCTTGGACTTCTGGCCTACAGACATGTATGATAACAAATTTGTGCTGTAGGAACTACCACGGTTGTGGTAAATTGTTGCTGTAGCAATAGAAAAGTAATATACTTGGTGAAGCGGGAAAATGAATAACTCAATTGATATCCTTCCCTCCCTGGTGTGACTACTCCCTGAAAATCCAAGTTACTCTCCAAATCAGTACCAAATTCCGGTCTTGGAATCTCACCCCTTTCTGCGGCTACCCCAGGTACATGCTATTGGTCCCCAGGTACTTTCTCACCCCAGAAATCTCTTCTATTTTATCTCTTCCAGTTTCCTCAATTTCTGTTTGTGAAGTGATGCTTCAGACCCTCTGAGTTTGATTATCCTTCATGAGGTAAAGTGGAAAAACACACATTCGTAGCCCCATGGTGTGATCAAGTTATTTGTGGTGAATCAGGGAAATGATTTGGAAATAACATTTAGTTTTTTACTAATACAGTGGTTGGCAATTTGGTTTGTTCATGCTGGCTGAAACGGAGACCGTATAATGTCGTTCTTCTGTGCTCTATGAAATATAGACATAGTTTAACTGTTAGGCTGCATTCTCATTAAATCCACTTAAACCTCATGGCAATGTATGTCTAAATTTTTGTTCTTGGCTGGACAGACTGTTGCGCAAAACAAGTATCTGTCTAGCTCCAAAGGGGATACTCAGGAAGAAGCTGTACACAGAACTTTTAATTAAAAGCAAAGGCAAAAGTGAGTCATTTGGGAAAAGTTACAAAAAGATATAGAATATATGCAAAGGAAAGAAATGGGTTGATTCCAAAAACTTGTGTAAAAGAATTTGAATGGAAACAGTCATTCACTGGAAGTGGGAAACAGTCACATAAAAACTACTATGAATGGCTTTCTTTGCACATAAAATAGGCTGGAGAATGGGTTCAAGCAATAGTAAAGGCATGAACAACAAATAGACTAAATCTACTGAGAAGAAACAGAAGTTCTGGAAAAAGACACTGTAAAGAACAAAGTCGTTCGCCACATAATAGGGGAAATTGATGAGCTTTGTAGTAACTGACAACATACAATTATATAATATTTTTAAATGCTCTAATTCCTATTCTTTTTTTGCCATCAGAGGATTTAGTAACGTTGAGAGGAATGTTTAGTGGCGTCCCCATGGAGCGTGGCATCCGGATTTCGGTTGTGCTTCACTGAACAAACAGGATGTTATACTAATGAAGCAGTACTTTGCCTAAAATATTGACTATAATACACAGTCATTAATAGGAAGTCCCACTTTATTGACGTGATTTCAGTGATGCAGACTTGCAAAAGAAAAGATTATCTGTGACCCTGAACTACAGATATTTATTCATGCCCACTCTCTTTCCAGTATGATCCAAGTTGAAGCACCAAGGGTATCTCAGCGTACTTCCTGTGGGGAACAGCTGAATGTGGCGCCAGAACACCTGGTTCCACTCCTCTGCCTCTGGAATGGGGAGCGCAGGAGGCCTCCCAGAGCCTGGTCTCTATCTGAAAACAGAGATAATGTTACCTATTTTTGTCTGATTCTCAAAATGAGGTAACATGATATATTACAGTAGGAAGTGCTCTGTGATTCTTAGAGTTCCAAATGTTAGAGCCCTTATATTAGGCTTTTTTAAAAAAGATAGTACAGAAATCATTAAAATAGTATTTCCATTCAAATATATATTGTTAGAATTTTTGGTAGAAA